AATGTTGATGCGTAAATTTGGTTGGGTTGGTTGATCAAATATCACACCAAAGAGACTCGAAATTGACCTACAAAACATAGAAGACTTAATAAGATGTGGTGCTAGCAACACACACTTCGATGCTTAAGTTAGAATAGGAGGTTGAAGAATAGTGTAGTTTTAAAGTAGGGTTGTTTACATACCTCTAGGTTTAAGTCTTCCCTTCTATTTGTAGAAATCAAATCTTATTCCTTTTACGGAATCTAATTACTATCGAATAGCTTGGGTTTAGTATCATCATGGGCTAGACACAAAGGAAAAAGGATAGCTTGGGTTTAATTAGACTAACTTTAAAGAAAATGGAAGATAGTTGGCCCATCACTAGACTTCATCAGTTGGGAACGTGGCCCATTCTTTGGGATGCTGGACGATGTCGGTCCAGAACTGGTCGGCAGCCGAGACTGGTCGGCCGTTGGGTCTTGGTAGGCTAGCGTCGAGTCCTTGTTGGATGGGCTCCATGCTACTGCTTGTCCATCGGGCTTATGGGTTTTCGTTCTTATTTCTTCTAATTTGGGTCCATGTTGAATTTCTCCCTTGATCGTGGCCTTCTTTCCTATTAAGTGGGCCCATAGCTTGCTTGTCGGGTCAACTTTATTTTTCCGATAACAATTATTATTTTGAAAGAATGTCAAGAGGTTTATTTGAGTTTTTAAACCATTAAAAAAAACTTAAAATGAAAGGTAAAAGTTGTGTATGGAGTATGGATAGGTTGAAGGCTTATTTGAGTGAGATAATTATGTAAATAAGGAATAAACTTAAATAAGTAATAATTTGAGTAAGAAATTTGGATGGGAAGAAGAAAATAGTGAATAGTGAATTAGAAAGAAAAATAATGAAATTAGGATTGAGAGAGTTTTCAAGAAAGATAAAAAGTAGAACTTGTATAAACTAGTGTGCTACATGTGCGTTGCACGGAGTATTTTTAATTTAATTAATTTTATAAAAATAATATCATTAATAGTAAAAAAGCAATAATAAACAAAGAAAAAAAATTAAAATGTATATCTATACAAACTTCATAAATAAATAAGCATATATATGCATTGTTTTCTATTAAGGATTTGACTTAGTATTTTGTTTATTTTTAATTTCAAGTTTTCTATTAATTTTAAAGTTATCACTTAGTTTCCATATCACTCTTGATAATTATATTGAAGCACAAAATTGGTTGAAGATCACGAGGCGTTTCAAAAAGAAAACTCTATTTTTTTTCTTTATTTTAATTATTAACTGCTATGCTATTATTAAACTTTTCTTTTGATAAATATTTTCAAATATGAATGAATTTTTCATATTTTGTATAAATATATAGCTATTATATGTAGCTAGTATTAGTCAGAAATTTTGATATTTTGATATTTGTTATAATTGTTTGTTGTCCTCATCAGTCAAATCAAATAAAAAGGATCATTTCTCGGGGAAGAACCAATCAAGGAATTTAACTATATCCCTTCTAAGATCGTTCAATTTTTTTTTTGGTATTTTGTAGGGGTAAACGATACAGAGATACATTAGAGAATATATTTTATAAAAATAAAAAGAAAATTATATTTATATAAAAAATATGTTCTATCAAAGACGTAAAGTAGTTTCATTTAGGAACTTCTAATGGAGATATGTGAATACATTAGGTTCTACAAAAAAGTGTTCAATTCAACTAAATTCATAATGTCTGATTTCACCATGTCCCCTCTTTTAAGATCAGTATTTATTATTGCAAGAGAAACATACCTAGCTTCAAAATCGGGAAATTTGGATTTTTGACCCCTTTCAATAACCACTTTGGACTTTTGACCCCCTTTTGATTTTTACCTATTTATGACCCCTCCACCTCATATTTCTGACCCCTCCCCTTATTTTGCTTTGTAAAATTACCAAGTTACCCTCAATTTAAAAAAAGAAATCAACCCCAGCCCTCCCCTCCTTTCCCTCCCTGTCTCGGTCCTTCCCCTCCCTCATTCACTATCTCGTTGTCCATCCCAGTCTTCATCCCGGTCTCTCCC